AGGGAAAATACATACTTTTAATTAGGTTATCAAAGGCATCTATGACATCCTACTCCCCTTTCCAAATTTAAGCAACACAAATTTATGGTGTCTATCCATAAATGCACTCAATTAAGAGGATTTTTTTTAAATATAAGAGGTTACATTTTAAAACTGCCTGGAAATCTGAATAAGAATAGACACCAAAAAAAAAAAAAAAGCTAGAGAGAATACTGGAAAGTATTTGCAAATGGGTGGTGAAGACTTCAGTTTGAGAGTTATATTAAATTGGAAAGTTCCTAAGGATCACATAATACAGTCTGAGGATTAGAGATTTAAAAATTAAAACCAAAAATGCACACTTGATTTACAGACAGCAAGTCTTATATGCAGAGTCTTAGAGGCTGGTATCGGACAGTTGTTTTTAGCACCTGAAAGCATTCTCAAAGTATCCGTGTATGGGTCAAATTCTTGTACTAGTTGACTTTAAGAAGTTTTCTCCTAGGATCCTATGATATCTTTCCTATACACAAAGTAGCAGAGTCTCTTCAAAATGCTTCTCAACCTAACTCTGAGATGTGTCATAATTAAATACCTGAGAAAGTGCAGAACATCTTACTCAAAGATAGCCAGTGATCCAAGACCAAGGCCCTATAGCAGATACTGGGTGTTTAGCTAGGTGTTTAATAAGTAGCTATTTTATAATTAATTAACTAATTAATTAAGAACAAGAACTTGGTGAGTCCAGTCTCATGAGGTTCCTTTGGGAAGGAATGGGGTTTAGCTGATGTTGTCTAATATCAGAGGTGGTATTGAGTCTGGTGGCTATCTTCCATCTTCATCCACAAATAATCAGTCTGCAAGCTCCATTGGATGACAATTACCCAATGGGTAATTTCTCCCAATATGAGCCACAGGAAGACAGACTGAACATTATGTCTCCTCTACCAAAATTGACTCCAGGATCAAATACAAGGAGAAATGTGGAAAACTTGGTCCATTCAGCTCTTGTTGAGATTGTTCATAAGTTAATATTTTATTTACAATCTACATGTTACAGAAACTATTTAAGTGCTCTGTGCAAACCAAAGCCATCTCTGCAGCTTGTAAGGAATGCACATCTGTGAATTGCAGGTGCCTCCCAGCAAAGGAATAAATGATGCCATACAGGAAAGACAAAGGATCAGTAACTGCATCAACCTCAGCAATAGTAGCTAAAGTTCACTAAACACATATCACATGATGGACCTTACTAAGTTGTAACCTTATATGGAACTCCTATCACATGTTCTATTGACAGAGTGGAGGCAGACAGAGTCATCAATCTCCTATTAAGGCAACTGTACCTATACAAGTTAAGTCAGCTACCCAGGGTAGTATGAGCTGGAAAAGCAGGGGCCAATCTTATCTGCCCCTACCCTGTCTTTCTGGACTGCAACAATTCTGTAGACTGTGTAGCCACTAGATTTGTAACTCATTCTCATTCAGTTAATGTTGGTAAACAATAGGGGGTTTGCTATTCCAGCCTAGAATTCTGCCTTCATTTCCATGATCCCTCCATGGTCTAAGCAGACCCCCTGTACCTCCAACCCCTGAAGGAATGATCATACATGAATATCCCAAGAAGTTTCTATTTATCTATGTGAGAAAGAGAGATAGGGCCTCTCCATAACCTATGTTTCTTACTTGCTGGAATGGACTTTAGAAAACATCAGTACGTGGAGGGGAAAACAAAATCATTGAGAGGAAATGATGAATGTAGGGTATCCTTGGTGAAGCCTCCTGGACAATTATCTTAATGCTAGATAGCCTGAGGGTCACCCATGGCTCCATGAAGGCAGCCATGGAGGTTCTGTGGGATATTGTTTTAATCTCTTGGAAAAATATAGAAGCTGTACATGAATATAGGATAAATGACACATTTTTGTTGGCCTTTGGATAATAACATATATTCATATTGGATACTTGATGAAGAACAGAGGTTTAGGTTGGCAGTTAGATATGTCTTCAACTGATGACAATGGGAAAATTAAATTTATTCTTAATGAATGCAGTTTGCTAAATGGCATCTTAGAAAAGATGGAGATCATTGGGTGTGAGGGAGAATCACAGAATGGAATCTTACCATGGAAGTTTAGGAAATGATTGAATACAAATGTGTCTTATTTCTCTTTGCTTCCTAGAAGCCTTATCTAAACACCTGAGACTTTCCTAGTTGCTTACACAGCACCCTCCTTATCACTTATCACACTTATCAAAATTGTTGGCTAATATGTCATGCTCTGTCCCCAACTAGAAAAAAATTCCTCCGAGGGTGCCACTTGCCTCTGTGTCCTCAGTGCAAGAGAGTGCGTGGAGCTGAGAAAAAAGGATGTTGAGCTAAACAGGACATCCATAAAGACATTAGTCAAATTAGAAATTATCCTTGAAAGGAATTTTAAGATAAACAGCTACAAGAAATCCACACTATCTCCTGGACCACGTGAATACTGATAATGTCATTTCCTGAAAACAGGAGTGGGTTTCCAACATCTTTGCAAATCAATGCAACATCAGAGCACTATTACCTCCAGCCAAATTCTGCTCCTCTTTCCAAGATGAGCAGCCCATAAGCCAGAGGAAAAAGGAAACTAGCATTTAAGATGCTGGATTCACACTTTTGCATCCAGAATCAATGCACTCCAGCCAACCTGTAGTCCAGCAAAACACCCAGCAACCAGTTGAATTTCCTCCTTCCCCACCAGTCCTATCCTCTTATACAACTTGCAGACATGAACACACACACACACACACACACACACACACACACACACACTCTCTCTCTCTCTCTCTCTCTCTAATCCTCCTGTTCTTTCTATTCTCCATATCTTAAGAATTTCATCTTACTATTAAATGTGGGTTGAGAATTCCAGTCAATATTCAGCAAAGAGGCACAACCCACAATTGTAAACAAAAGTATTAAAGATATCATTGGAATATTAATACTAAATCATGTTCCAAGCAGTCACAAACACATTGTTTCACCATTTGGAGATGTCTGTGTCTCTCCCTGGTGAATGTGGTTAATTAGTTATGCATGGTTATTCCCAGCAAAGAGCAAGTTCATTATAAGTTAGCAAATTTCTATTTTACAGCAGGTGTGTTATTCTGAGACTTTTATAAATTGTTCATGTGAGGATAAGCCATATAATTTTACTTAATTTTTGTCTGTTCAATATAGCAGCAAGCTACTGAAGGTATGTATACCAGAAAGCTGCAATTACCAGCTACCAAAATAAGATAATGATTTTTCAGACAAACTAATGGTGTATAAACATGCAATTTTGCATTTATGGCTTATGAATCTTGCTTTAGTAATCACATGAGCCTAGTGGGTAACTTTTTTTCCTTCATAACTCATTATGTGACCTTGAAAATAACAAGTCTTTATTCCTGCCTTTCTAGATCTATAAAATGGGCTTGATACTCTGGGGGCTGAAGATAATGATTATACACTCAGATAGATTATTTATATCACATGGTCCAAGAGATGAGGTTGAAGATATGAAGATACATTATTTTGGAGGGGGAGAGAATTTTTGGCTAATTCATCCTTGGTTTGTTATTACCCACCATCTTCCTCATAGAGTTTTTTGTTTGTTTGTTTGATGTTGTTTTGCCCACTAAGAAGCTTGGAATTGACCTAACTCTAATCACAACACCAGAAACAATGGACTTCGCCTACTCTGCCTTTTTTTTCCTATCCTGACAATTTCATCTACTTTCATTTTCTTTATAGTGTTACCTTTGTCTCACTGCATTTGTTTTTGAAACACTTCAAATGCTCTCCTTTGAAATGATAGAAATATGAATATCTCACTCGGTATAATAGAGAGGTGTTCTAGGCTAATTCAGGTTTTCAAATAGATTTACAAGCAACAGAGCTATTTTAAAAATGTGTTTAACCCTGTTCACATAGTCCTAAATACAGTCATATTCTTCCTAAAGATAAGAAAGTCAGTCACAGGCAAGGGAAGCCTCCAACCAGGCCATCCTGTACATAACTGAGTTTTCCTTATAGCAACACCTAAATGATATTTAGGGTGCCAGGACTCTTTGTATCGGGGGAGGGGCCATCCTGTGCACTGTAGGTGCACAGGATGTTTAGCAGCATCCCTGGCTTCTGCCCATTAAGTGCCATTGCACCTCCCAGTTCCCGTTGTGCCAACCAAAAATGTCTCCAGATATTACGTGTTTCTTGAGGACCACTTCCTTAGAGCTATCCCTCTCTCCCTGACTCTGTGTGTATAGGAATGTTCTAGGAGGATCAGGAAGGAGAAAGGGTAGCATCTCTAGGTTGCAGTCCACCATACCAGTACCAATTTTTTCAGCATCACCACCGTTCCCTGCTATTCACTTGGCAATATCAAAGTTCATGCACAGAAATACCAAACTGGCAATGGGGAACACATGAATTTGCATTTCCTTGCAGAGGGGAAACAAAGACAAATGACATCTTGGAAAATCCAGCTAAAACGAGTCTTAATTCCATTTTCATTGAAATTTTGAATGTTTACATTTGACTCCACACCTAATTTTCTCTTCCCAGCCAAAGCCTTGTAAACCTTGAAGCTCAAGGTGTCTTAGGGAAAGGGAGCATGACCAGCCAGTGGTTTTTATGTTTGAAAACCCGATGTCCTTCCATGGACAGGCTCATGGGGCAAATGTGATCCAACCTCCTTAATAACCAGATGTTTGCAATCATCAGAAATACATCTTTGGCTGTAACCATTTCTCTGTTCTCCAGCATTCAGTCTCAGAGAGAATTTACATAACAACATGTGACATGTAGAATGCTTAAAGGCACCATCCATGACAGGACAAATTACACTCATTTTTCAATACTCTTTGCAAGGTGCTCCATGGCAGGCGCGCTGGGCTGCATGCTGGGGTATTCTTGTGGGACAGTCAAGACCAGCATGCGCTCGCAAACAGGAAGGGGCGGGTGCAGGGAGGCCCACCTGGGAGGTAGCATCACTTACCCGCCGTAGGCAGGGATCGGGGGTGGGGGCGCCGCGGCCCGGAAGGTGTTGTACACGGTGCGGCCACGGCCTCGCAGGTGTGCCCCTCGGTAGGCGGCCGCCGCAGTGGCAGCTGGATACGGAAAGCCGGGCACTGTAGGAAGAGAGGAGAGAGCAAGGCAAAGGCTTTCAGAGGCACACCTACCATTGAAGGAACGTCCCATCCCAACCCTGCTGCCCCAGAGCAAAAGCTGGACACCTGCCACCCTCCACAACCCACCCCCCCACACTTCCGGGAGCCAGGGGTATAAAGGCAGCAGCAGGGCTAGGGCCAAGGCCAAGGTCTGATTCCAAAGAGGATGGGCTAGTTAAGTAGGTGGGCCCAGTGTCCAAGAGAACGTGCTAAATGACAAACATTGACAAAGAATTCTTAAAAACAGACTTAAAGCTCACAAGCAATTAAAAGGTAGATTGCAAGATGTATGTGCAATGTGTTCTCAACATGTATTTGTCTTCTATCTATTCATCCATCATTCAGTCCATCTATCCAGCCATGGATCCATCCACATATATGCTCACACACATGTCTAGTGTGTAATATTTACATATAAACCTGTACATGTGTTAGTGAATATGTTTGCATGTTGCATGCAAACATAATATGCATGGGTATGTGTATGTGTGTATATGCAGGTATATGTGCATGTGTATGTGAATGTGTATATATATGTATATTTATATTTGTGCACATATATATACATATACACACATATTTCAATGTGTTCTATACTTATCTCTGGAGCTGAACTGCATAAGTGTTAGTTGTCTGTTCATAGCTTTTCCCCAACCCTTTTCAGTTGTTTCCTACATTTTCCTTTATGTACATATATTGTTAATTGAAATACAGTATACAGTACACCTCATGCTCCAAGAAACAAATAATTCCAACATCCCATCAGCCCCCTAACCATTTATTCAGCCTATTAAATACAGTAGCAGTAAGGACAGAGAAGTCTGGGAACTCAACTCTTAAGAAGAGTGTGGGCAGGGCTTTCTTCCCTAGGGGAAAATTCTCTGAGCAGGATAACTTAGTGAGGAGTCAAGAGGGAAATTAAGCATGATGCTTGAGACCCCTGATAATTAATTCTGTTGCCTCTGCCTGGGCTGTCCTTCCTCCCACCACATGCAAATGCTAACCCAGGAGGCCTCAGGAAACTGCTTCTGCTTTCCAGCTCCTTCCTCTTCTCTGAATCCCCCAAAGCTCTCACCATGCAGCCAGTGCTTGTCCCATCCCACTAAACAGCAGGCAGTGCCAACCCCAGTGCATGTGGATGGGGTGCTTTTCTGGAGAATACAGCTGGGAACTCACTGTCTCAGGAGATCTATATCGAAGGCTCAGAAAGTCCTACAGAGAGGGATACGCTTTAACCTAGCTAATCCAGTACTCCCCAACTCCATTTTACCAAGTACTTGTTTTTATTTAATCCTCACGTGAGGTCTGTTTATTGATTTTAGAGAGAGAGAAGGGTGAGAAGTGAGAGACACTGATGTGAGAAACATCAGTTGGTTGACTCCCTTCTGTGCCCCAACGTGGGATCAAACCCACAACCTACATGTATGCTCTGACCAGGGACTGAATCTGCAAACTTTCGGTGTGTAGGACAATGCTCCACCCAACTGCCAACCAGCTCAGCCACCTGGTAAGGGCTCCCAGGTCTGGAATATCTCTCACAGGTATTGGTTTTGAGAGAAGGTAAGTCAGTCATTTGTTATTTTTATCTCTATTAGTGTGCAAGCTCCTTCAGGCCTCCCTCCATGTCCCATTCATCTCTGCATCTCCTCCTGCCTCCCCAAGTCAATAGGAACCCCCCTGATTTTATTCACAGTAGGTTCTAAATTTTGGGTATCTGCATGAATGCATGGATGACTTCACAACATGACCACAACTAAAGTTGTGGGCTGTGGTCAGGCCAAATGATGGGCAGACCATCCAGTACACCTTCTCTGCTGGTCCCATTTTTTTTCCTCTCATCTCATTGACCTAACAGGAGATTTGAGGGTTTCCAGAGAGAGGAAGCCTGAGATGAGCCAGGGTGAGAAGGGTTTCATCCCCCTTCAGAACCTTCTCTTCCTGCTCCATCTCTCCTGGGGTTTCACACAGTGCTTGTTATGATGTACAAAGTGGGGAAGGACACAGAATTTCTTTTGGCATGACATAAACACTAGGAGAGGCCTTGCTGGGAAGGAAGCTCTTTAACTTTGTTAACTCAACACATTCACACTTCACTCCTTCCAGAACTGTGTTTGATGAAACACCTAAGGAGGGGGCATTGTATTTCCTGCTGTGCTAATGTGGTCTCCACCCTATATCTAAACTGCCAAGAGGGACTTTCCCCTTCCTACATCACATTCAGGAGCAGAAGCCCTCTACCCAGTCTCGTTCCATTACCCCAGGGTCTTTGACAGTATGTATGTTTGTAGCTATATGGTGGGTGGCATGGGGGCAGGGAGAGAAAGGGACTTCCCACAAAGTCGCTCCTAATTCTACACTACCTCATGGAACTGCACAGATTGGAATATAACCCTTTAACCTGAAGGGAACATGGACTGACTGTCATTCGGAATTCTCTCTGTTCCCAAATGGCGAACAGCCAGCCTGCTTCATGAATTCTATCATTTCTTTCTTTCATGATGAGGGTAAAATGCTAGGATTGGTGAATAAGCCAGAATGATTTCATCTTTCTATTTGTGTCTGAGAAGACCATACTGGTTATTTGTAACCTTCTTTTTTATTGTTAAAAACAAACCATGCAGCTGAACTTAACTCTTGGCTTGCCAGCCCCTAGCACCCACGTTTCCTGGTTTCAGTTTCAAATAATTGTGCTTGACACTGTGGAGAGGTGCCTGTCTTAACAGGGAAAGTGGGTAAACCCTAATATCACAAAAGCCCAGAAGTAATGAGATATGAGACGTTTGCTTCAGGACCAGGAGAAAATGAGTGAGCATGGCTTGATTTTAACTCCATTTTGCCACAGTTCAAATACCAAGTTTTTGTAGGAACACCCTGGATTTTGAAATAAAGAAAATGAAAAATTCACAATCTGGCAGAGCAGCTGGCAGCCTGTGTGAGAAAACACGGTAATTATGCTGACCCATTCATTATCTCTGGCTACCGTGCAGAGGGAGTGAGACAAGATCCCTCTCAGCGACAAGCAGGTTTTACACTGATTCTTGGAGGATTTAGATGTTGAGAGATAACATGAAACAGACGCTCAGCAGGAGGGAGAGGGGAGCACAAGCTGCTAAAAGTGCAGAGCCAGGGTTCTATTTGTACCCTGTTTGCTACAGAATATATAGGATAAGATACTTATGGGTCTTAATACAAGCCTCTTTGGGCTCCTTTACACAGCAGATTAGCGGTGTTCTTATTTTGTTAAAGGAACACAGGAAAGACTGCATATTAGCTCTTGGTGTAAATACTGCCTTCCTGGGAGGTCAGGTCCCCTCAGGTAAAATAAGGTGATTCAAAGTTCATGATTTGGAGCAGAGGCTTCATGAAGAAATTATGTGAGTCTCCCAGGAGGGTGGTTGGTTTAGCTGTCTCTTTCCTGTTGCCAGTCTAGGACTGGCCAAGGGGTCCCTTAGTCTCTAGTTAGTCATCATACTAATGAGCATTCCCTTCCTATGTTCCGTCCTCTCTTCCCTACTTTTTCATCCCCCCTCCTTTCCTTCTCCACTCCCTTCCTCCTTCTCTCCTGTTTTCATTTTTTTAATCTCCTCCTGGGCAAGGCAGCCACAAACCTCCCCTGGTGTACAGTAAGCCCTCACTTAACATCATCCATAGGTTCTTATCATCAATAGGCAACTTTCGGTGAAATGACATACAACAAAACCAATTTTAGCATAAGCTAATTGATATAAACAATATTTAAGTTCCTACTGCATCTCATCAACATTATAACAAAATGATGTTATTCAAGGACCTGCTGTATGAGCAATCAGGTAGTTTGGATTCCAGAATAAAAGAACTCACACTATTGCTAGAGTGAACATAAGCTCCATGAGGGCAATGATCTCCATCTGTTCCACTTACTGATTGCCAAGGTTGCTGCACAGAGCAGGTACCAGGTTTTTAACATTGTGCCTGGACACTTCTTGGTGGTTAACAAATGCTAATATCCTTTTTTTCTGGGGGGACTTGTCCTATCTGTTTAGCTTTCACTTTTCATAACTCTCTCCTATACAAAATGTCCTGCCCAGGTTTTGCAGGCAAACGGTATGCAAATGACACAATCATATCTCAGTCATGACCCTTATAAAAATATTTCCTGCACCTATACTTTTAGGTGTTGTGTTGGCCCAGAAATAGCCACCAGACTTGGAATATCTTTGATTCTGATAAAAAACAAAAACAGGTTATGCAGATGTATTGGGTTTGTACTGTTGCAAACCTTCAAGTAATTTAAATTCACTTTTATTGCTGCAGAGTGATAGGATTTGAAGTTCTGTTCTGTTTCCTCTTCTGGGGAAAAGCAGGACTCAAACATTTTTTCCCCAGACAGGAGATATCTATTAAAAGTTCCTTCCTTTATTTAGCCCCATACAAGGCTTTCTGGCAACCCAGCAAATCACAGTCTCTGAATGCAATAAATTTGTGCAACAGGGGACAGCAGAAAAATAACAATATTTATAATCCTTAACTTCTCTGATTTGTAGCTATGCCTTCTATGTGTCTCCCCACCTCCATTAGAGGATGTTCCCCAAATGGCTGATTTAGGACAGTCGGGCTCTCTTTTTTGTCACTGAGACAAATAGTCAACGTGAAGGTAAAAAAACCCACAACAGTTTGTCAAGTTTCCTTCAGACTTGTCATGGGATGGGATTACTTTTTATTCACGTGCCCACCAGGTATGCTGGCTTGTAGATGCTAGGACATGATTAAGTGCATATTTGAAGCACTTACTTGAATAAATGATTCACATACAGATTAAACAAAACCCAAATGGCTTTGTCCTTGGACCCTCCAAAAGAGACATCTTATTATGTTCTATATGGCATGACACTCATCTTTTGTTGAGTGAAAGTTATCATGTCATTTACCAATGCCCCAGTTCTGAAGTTTGGATCCAGTAAGTGGGCAATAAATGTTTAATC